ATATACATGTATATATATATATATATATATATCATATTAAATCTGTTAATATAATGAAGGTTTGAATGAAACAAATGAAAAAACTTGAGTTGAGAATCTCAATTTCTGCAGAGTAATTATCAAGCCATTGATTACTTCAATAAAATTTCTTTGCTTTCACTTTTATTTCGATTCAAATACAAATACTCTCACATTTGAAACAAATTTGGACTAGAATGATAGTCATACAATTTTTTCAAGCATGAATCCGCACAGGAACCTGTTGATTTTTTGTTGATATGCGTGTTTTTTTCTTGGTAACTTGTAATCATCTTTTTGAACTTCTTGAGATTTTATTTGTCTCTTTGAAATTTCTAATCATATTTGCTTCTGCTGAAACATTCTTTAAAAGAAGATGTGAACTTGTTATTCTTTTCTCATGGTTAATTAGTTGCTTGCAGATAGAAACGTGTTTGAAAAAAGTTTTTTTTCTCCACCCATTTTGTTTGATAGCAAAATCATGATGTTTGAGAGTGTTTAGATATGGTTTGTGGAGCTTAAGATAATTATAGTTTTCTATTTATACCCAACAAAATGAGTTTATCTAGCAACGCTATTTTTCTATACTTGTAACTTCTGTTAACCAAAGCTGCTTCGATATAAACTTGAGAACATACATATAATCTAATGCATTTCTTATTTCTTCTAGATGCAAATGAGTTTTCTTTTCTTATACATTTAGTTGAAGAAGGCTTGCTTTTAAATCATTTACTATTACCTGAAGTAAGAATTATTGCACTTCAACAGTAACAACATTATGAGAATTCATGTAATCAAATTAAAATGTTATACTGGATACTGTATGATTAACCTCTATTATCTGCAGCTGCAATTGCTTGGTTGTTTGAGCGGTGTGGAGATGATACTGAAGGATGTTGGATATCCAGTGAAGCTGGGTAGTGGAGTTGCTGCTGCCGCTGCTTTTTTGCAGAATACCATCCCTCTGATCCCTTCAAGGATATGATTTTTCTGTTTTATTTGGTTTGTCACTCCTACTTTCTCTCCAATTCTGTTTATAAGACTTCATTATACAGTAATGTTACTGGAAGTTGTGTCTGTCCTCTGTCATTTAATAGACATCTCCCTTTAAAAACTTTATTGAATGTGAAGTTGTATTTGAAAATTTTTAGCGGATTATGTCGGCTGTGATGGCTTCAGGTTTTATGTAATTAATATGATCCCTTGATTGAGAAATTTTCGTTCATATGTTTGCAAGTTTGACGTCGAATTACATTTAAAGTTAGTTGATATTAAGTCTTCATTCCTTATAAGTGGCTGATTTTACTTATATTTGATTTGATATTTTATTTGAGTTGATTAGCTGTGAGTTTGTGTGTTAAATTTTAATAATTAAAGAGAAATGTAAGAAAGTTTACTTTCATTTGATAGTAACTAAGCTCAATTAACCTTCCCAATTCTAACTAAAAGGGGCAATTTGGGAGAAGAGAAATGAACGCAGTTGGGTTCCATCTCACAGATCAAATGCTTAGTTTTAGCTCACTTCCGAGATAACCAACTCAGCTGAGGGAGATCCTGTGGATTAAAATAAAATTAAATAGCTGCTCTTAAAAAATTAAGGCTCATTTAAATGTGCAGGTAGAATCATGTTTTAAAAAATTATCTTTTATTTTGATTATTTCAGTATTAAAATAAAATAATTATACTTGTGGAGTCGATCAAAATTTTGCATGGTTCTACATACACAAAGATAGTCAATATTGAGAGACATCAAAATATGTTTAGAAAATAAATTAAATTTTGTGTACAAAACTTAAATGGGAGAAAATTTATATGATCCGGCCTAGTTGAAATAATCCACTAAATAAATTATAAAAATTTGCTCTTCTTTTTAGTTGGACATGATAGGACTACATCAAAGGTCAAGAGGCAAATGTTTGTTTGGAGTTATCAATGTTTCCAATGGATTGTAGAAGTTAGGAGATTGTCATTAGCTGACAAGGGTTAGACAATCACTTTTTAAGCAAATGGTGGTTAGGTGATAAGAAATTAGCGGCATTTTGTAAGTGTGACAATACTTAACAAATATTTAAGCTAACAACAAATGTTAAAAGGCCAAACTTTTACTAGATACTAGTGTTGCTAATGGATATTGGAAGTTAGAAGATAGTGTTACGTGATGAGTGTTGGGCAACCAAGATCTTGTAATATGAGTAGGCGATGGCAGTCCAAGGATAGTGGTTAAGCAATGATACACAAGGCCACAACAACCATATATGATGGTAGTCAGGCATCAAAACTAACAACAACATTCAAGTGATGATGATCATGCGACATCAATTTATCTTGATTATAAATTTTGAAAAATTTATAAATTTTGTTTTAAAAAATTTTACTTCAAATATAACTTCAAGATTCACGTTTTATTATATTTACTCTTTTAGTGATTTATTATTTGCCACCTATTTTCTTATGTCCAAATATATATCACCCAAAAATAATGAAATAAAAAATACATGCACTATGAAGGCTTAGTCTTGGTTCTTCATATTTTACCTCTTCTAATCATTATTGTTAATAGTGTTGTAGGTCATATCATAATAATGCTTCGTGATCGAAATTGAGTACACTTTTATTCTCAATTTATTTCGCCATTTTTTCAATTTTTAACTCTTCACAATGTAAATTTATTGTAAATCTATTATTATTTATAATAAAATATTTTTGTAAATTAGTTATAATTCTTAATAATGGATATTTCATGAAGCTCCCATCTTTAAGTTTTGTAACTCTTTTCATTCAATACTTGCAACTCCTCTTCATTATTCCATCTACAAATGCCCACATATGCATAATAGCAAAACTAATGATTTTTTTTATTGGCTCTAGTTCTCCAACAAAAGTGGTTTGACACTATTATGTATACGAAAACTAAATTACTCTTCATCGGCTCTAGTTTTTCTATTTACGAAGATTTGATACTATTCTTTTTCTTAGTTTCATTGTCTAATCAAGTTCTCCTTTTTTAGCTGTTTTGATAATATCCATACACAAAATTATGAGTAAAACCTAATATTTTCAATCATTAAAATGTTTTGATAATATCCATACACAAAATTATGAGTAAAACTTAATATTTTCAATCTTTATGGTAAGGCTCCAATCTTTTGTATAAATGGAGAGTGTCTATCCTCATTAGGACCTAATAGAGCCTAGGCTATGAGGTGGAGGTAGTAGCCAAAGTACAAATTTCCTTTGGGGTAGCTATAATTCTCTCTAAAAGAGGTTAATTATTTTGGTTTAGATCAATTAAATCTAAGGTGAGAGGACCTTTCATCTTATTTATGGTTCTAATCTTTCTCAAATAGAGTTAATCATGCTAAAAGTTGGGCATGTCTTAAGGAGAGGTAATATTTAATTGAGCATAAAGCCAAGTGCAGTGATGTAGATGGTGATGAAACAACTCTTAAAAAATTTGTACTAAACCTTATGATACCCAAACTTCTATATTTTTAGCAATTCATGCTTATTTTTAAGCTTCTCAAAAAATTATAAAAATTCCTCTTTTTCTGAATGAATGTTCTTTTTTTTTAAAGTGTACTACTCCTAAAAAATTGTTTTTGTAAAATCTAGTCATTTAATTTCTAGAATAGTTTTTTTGATGCCTTGACACTTGAATTGTGATATTTTTTATCTTTATTAAATTTTGGTAATCAAACGAATTATCATAAAATTTTTAAAATTTAAGTGAATGTAGATAACATCTCTATCTACTTTTTTTTTCATCCAAGACAAATAGTTATTTGTAAAATAACTAATTTATGAATAGTAATTTTATTGAAAGATATTTTATTTATTTCAACCTTCAAACTTTTCCTATCATTCATTTGCTTAATAGATTTATTCAAAGTTTTCTATAAGTACTCCTCTATTTTATGATTTTGTTTTTAAAGAAAATTCCTTGAGTGATATTAGTCAATAGTTCTTGCTAATGTCATTGTAAAAAAATTAGTTGAAAAGAAAATTTAATTACCTATGTTGTTTTGTATTTGCTTCAAATTTAGTATACTTTATAGCTTTCATTTTTAAAGTTGAACTATAATTATATATATATATATATATATATATAAATAAGAGGAAGGAGCATTATTCGACTCCTTACATGTTGAACTACAAAAAGCAAATACAATGGGAGGGTTCCCTAACTCAATCCAAAGTTCTCACATAACACCCTCAAAGACCAAAAAACCCCAGTAGGCTAACACCAATAGAAAATGAGCTCAGCAAATGTATAGGAGTGACAGAAGTCCAAATAACAATGAGGAAGATCCAGGCATCAGGTCTGCAATCTGAGGTAAGGTATATGAAGATTATCCCCTTGTAATAATAGTTGAAGGGGGAGGGGAGGGGAGGGGAGGTGGAAACCTGAGCATGATTTGAATTAGAACCCTCCAAGGCCAGAAAATTTGCAGGCCTGTTAGCTTCCCTTTAAACAAAGGAGATTTGTAGCTTAATTTCACTGATAAGTTTCTTTATCTTGTGCATCCACTGGATAATATGCCAAGGGGGGGAAAGGTTTTCAGTGATCAGATCCACCAGTAGGGAAGAGTCCACTTCAGCAATAATCCAATTCCACTGAATTTCCATGGCAAATTTGAGTGCCCAATAAATAACAATGGCTTTAGTCTCCAAGTCATCAAAAACAATGTAGGGGGCCTTAAAATACAGCAAAACTTTGTTAGAGTGGTCTCTAAATATTCCACCAATGCCTGCTTTCTTGTTGGTGAAACTTCCATCAGTGTTTATTTTGATGAAAGGATAAGGTGGCTTCTCCCAATTAACCTTTATAACTTTAAGCTGTTTGAGTTCAATATTAGGCAGGTTCTTCAAAATCTCAGGGAACTTCTTCCAGCTAATCAACTTTTGGAGGTAGGCCTGATAGTTACACACCACAGAATCAGGATTAATCCCCATGTCCTCATGCTTTACCTTGTTCCTAGCATTCCACATAAACCAGCCAACAATGAAGGGAAGAGACATAAGGTTTATTTTCTGCCAGTCTTTTAAGTTATCTTTGATGTTTCACCCGGCAACATTGATCAGGTTGAGGTTAAATTTAGAGGTCAATTTTTTCCAAACATCCTTAGCAAATCTGCAACTGAAGAAAAGGTGGTCACTTGATTCTTGATCATTCTTGCAGAGGTGACATCTTGAGGGGCCTTTCAAACCTTTCAGTTTAAGAATGACATCAGTTGGAATCAAATCATTTAGCACTCTCCAAGAGAAGAATATCATAGAAGGAGTTAGGAACTTTTGGCAAGTAAAAATATTCCACTGGCAGTTATCCCCTTTAAAAATTATATTCTAGATATCCTTAGAAAGACTAGAGCTGGTCCTTTTAATGAGATGAATCTGGTCTTTTTTACTTCTATCAAAATGAATTTTAGAAATGTTACCAGCAGAAGATTCCTTCAAAATGATGTTCAAAGCTTCCTCAGACCACTCATTTCCAATCCAACAGTCTTTAACAAGTAGATCTTCCTCTTTATCCTGTTGCAGTGGTTCCAAGTGATCAGTAGGGCACCATTTGTCCTTCCAGAAGTTAATTTCTCCATGCCCTAGCTCCCAAATAAGAAACTTTTCAATGTCTTCTCTTCCCTTGAGCATCTGGATCCAGGTCCTAGAGTCTCCAACTTTCTTAGTTAC